ATTTTTTTACAGATTCTTTTAGAGATTTCTAATCAATTTATATTATATTAGACAATGGAAGTCCGAACTGATGAAATACACAATGGATGAAATGTTTCAAATACAAGTTGTAGACAATACTCGTAAAGGAAAATATGTTTTGAAAAACAACATCAACATACAGAATGTTCAATAGTGTGTACGTTCGAGTTCGTAATTTCAACACCCTATATTTACCCAGGTGATTTCCTTATGAATTGTTTTTGTCGAAAATATATAGTTTTTTGGGTTCATACAGAGTGATCCGTATGTTATAATAATAATAATAAAGTTTATTAACTACGTTACATTAGTATAAATGTTTGTAGCAAGTCGTTCAAGATACATCAATAGATTGATAAAAATTTTCAAAAGATTAATAAAAATTAATGATTGTATATAACATACATATATCACAGATTTCGAAAATGGGTGACATATTCACTGACAGAATAAAAACAAAATCTCAAAAGATGAGCCTTTAATGTTCTTTTAAATTTGGTTATACTAACATTCTTCAAATCTTCTGGTAAGTAATTGTAAAGACTATAATCTAAGGTATTTTTCTGGCTCTTACTGAAACGGTACCGATTGGTACGAATTCTGTTTGCATTTCTGATGTTATAATCATGTTTATCTGATTGTTTTGTCAAAGAGTCCGTGTTTTTATGTATTTCTACCAAGACACTGTACAAAAATAAAGTTAATAGCGGCATTATTTTCAGTTTTAAGAAAAGAGGTTGGCAATATAGTGAGATATGTTACGAAATGGATTCATTCAACCCGAATATATTTCTACGCCTACTCGGAATGGAAAAGTTCTCAGCTACATATTTTTAAAGATGATGACTTTCCCTAGTGTTGCTCGATCTATACTGGGACTGCCAAAACCCTCATCTCTCAGTTTTCTCAAATGAAACTTTTTGTAAATAAGACCATACCAAAATAGTCCATACTCTGAGCTTACGTCAAAAATTAATCTCTCCCAAAAATATGCCCTTTCAATTCAAATATTCAGATGTATAAGGCGAGATAATTTTCCTAAATTTTAGATTCAGGAAAAACCCCTATTGTAATAAAAAATATACTAGTTCAATCCAGTCCCGATCCCTAGACATCAGTAATATTTTTTGATCGATATTATTATCAATAGAATGCTGATGCATTCTTTGAAACTATATATTATTATTATTGAGAATTTGTGAAATATTGCAATCAACTGTAGAATTCATAATGAATAGATAGTTTCTCAAAAGTTTTCGAGAAATACTTAAAAATATTTTTCAAATTGTGTATAGTAGTTAGTATAGTGCTTCAACAACTCAATTTTTTTCAACATTTCGAACATGCATGATATTTTTTGATGTACACAACTATACTGAAGTTAACGTTTATCCCCTATGAAATCAAAATCATCCCCATGTTAATAGTTATATCGGTGGCACTGAAAGTAATAGATTTACTGCCGGTGACATTCATCGTATCAGAATAATATCTACTGATTTTTTCGAAAAATTTGCATTTTACACGTTTAGTCCTAGAGGTTAATTTCCACACTCTTCATACAAAACATTAACTTTTCTCCAATTCAAACAATACACTATTATCTCAAAAAAATATTCAAAACGCGATTTAATATAAGTTTATGACTGGTATATATAATACTCGGAGTATATAAACTAACTCAGTAAAGAACCTTCCACTTTCATAAGTACGGCCGCAGTCACGACTAAAGAAAATACAATTCAGACTAGTAGGCCATGGCCGAATGGAACCTAAAGTTCCAAACGTTTTGTCTGCTACTGCGGCAGACATCATAGGTGTTATGTGCGTTTACTGCGAGGACTGAAGTTTCATCTCGAAGTCCAGTAACGACACCATAATAATTTTATATTAATCAGTCCCTTAAGAACTTGAACGACTGATGTACATTCATATAAATTTATACATTATTACTACAACTATCACAAATACTCACTGTACCATTTTTTCAGTACTATGTCCAAGCCTGATTTTTCCAAAAAACTCCACAGTTATTTGTAAAGATTATAAAAATGAAAATATCGACTGTACCGACACAACAGAAGGTTCCAGTGTATCCTTCACATGTCCCTCCGGATATGCAACTTCCCAGGGAACTTCAGGAGTTAGGTTTTGTGTCAATGGATCTTGGGGAAAACCAAAACCAGTGTGTAAAAGGAAATTCTCTGTAGCCTCTCAAACCAACACCACAGCTGCCACAACTCCTTTACTCAACCAAACTGTTGAAGATACGACTGGTGTGAAAGTTATATGCACTTACAACAGTGATTACTCTCATAAAGGCGTTTATCCCGAGAATTTAGATGCTAGTATGTGCACTCATTTAGTTTATGAATATATCGGACTTTGGGATAAAGGAGATGTTCGCGTTCAAGATGATTTAATTGATCTGGATCAAGAACACAGAGGTAAGGCTATATTCAAATAAAGGCAAGTATACTGTGATTACTTTCAAATAAATATTATTCATTTATTTTTTTTCACCTTCTACTTTGATACGACACTGGATAATGTGTTGAATGAACAATACCGCACATAAACATTGACATTAAGGTTATATTTACAAGAAATTATCATTCTGAGATAAGTCTGTGACCTTCCTAACCATGATACAATATTGATCTTCTGCATATTCTTACTATACGAGAGTAATTTTTTTGAAAAGGAACCCTTTTGTACTGAAGTGAAGAAAACTTTATTTTTGAATGTAAATGGTATCACAAAATGAAATAAGAACTTAAGTTTCCTAAATATTCACCATACACGTGTTTTTCAACGCGTCATCCTTTTCGAAACTTGTGAAAATTGTTTATAAGCTCATCACTCTCCTGTTTCGACGAATTTTCTCGTAAACTGTTTGTGTCAAGTCTCAATTTAGACAGTATATCATCCAGATGGTAATTCATCATGAACATATACGCTCCCTTCATTGAAATGCATTCATTCATACACCTACCTTTAACATCAGAGCACACTTAATAATCAGTGGTATTACTGATTGACGTGGCGATAAACAAAGTTTAACCACACAAGTGGCACTCATATTTTGATCTTGAGGCTCAAATTTATGACGATCCATGACAGTGGTCAGATTGTCATAGAAAGAATCTACATTTGTTTTGTTAAAACTAGTCGCCCTGGAGAGGCTAGTAGCTTGTGCTGCGCGTAGAGACAGTTCGGGGTTTCTTCTCATAAACATCCGAAACCATTCCTCACCTGCCAGCTCGTTATCATCCCAAGTTTTAGGTCTTGATAAATTATATTTAACTGCAAGTTCATACGCCAGTTTTCTTACCTCCTTCTTAGGTAGTCCAAAATATATATCAGCACATCGAATCAAGTACTTTGAAAGCTCTCGCTCTTGCACCTCATTAAAAACTCGGTTGTGTGCTTTATATCCCATGTCTGGATTTTCTTGCTCGCCAGAGACATCTCGCTTTCGAATATATCTTAGAAGCGAACAATGGTTTAATCCGTGCTTCTCTGCCGATTTTCGCAATGATCCTCCGGTTTTCACCTCCTCATATGCGTCTTTGTACTTCGACAAGTCTATTTGCCCTCTCGATGTCTTTCTTACGCGTACTCTAGGCATCTAAAAAAACAAGAAAAAAAATAATTACACTGTTTCAACCGTACCCAAAAAAAATGTTTCAACCGTCCCCAACTCCTACTTTAGGTAAAATTCAGTTATTAGTCATTGTAACAATAATGATACACAAAAACTAGTCACAATGTCATATTCCGCGAGCTTCATTTCAAACAACAACGCACCCTCAATGCTGTCACTTGAATNCTGAAGAACGGCATCTTCAGGCGTCACAATACGTCAGTATTGTGTATAAAAATCAAACGTTTTATGATGCATATTCCCTATAAGACGTATACGGTAATAAATATTGTTACAGTGCGGTTTATGCATGTACCGCCACGTATAGTAATGATTCGACAATTATTATTGAGAACCCAAATAGATATTACATGTATAAATATGTAACTGAGAAAATTTCAAAATCTGTTTGGAAACAAAAAGATGTAAGTGAATAAAACTCATTGAACAAATCACCAATAACGAAGATGACTCAGGCTTCAATACAATACAATACAATCCTTAGTTACACAGCACTCTGTAGCGAAAACGAAATAAATAAATTACATTTTCAGAACCAAACGAAAAATTAACAAACAGAATAATTCATGAGATTTGCAATTAATTGGGTGAAAAAAAAACTTCATGTGAATCAGCTTCTATCATTTCTTTTACAGGTTTATACCTCAGATCTACGGACCTGAAAAGAAAGAATCCTAATCTGAAGGTATTATTGAGTGTTGGTGGCACAGCTGCAAGCAATTCCACTCTATTTTCTCGTATAGCTGGTCATGCAGGCAAAACAGGAGCATTTCTTGGAAGTTCGGGTTATTTCATAAAGACATATCATTTCGACGGTTTGAATATCGATTGGCAGTTTCCGAAAGAAGAAGATAAGGTATGATTGAAGTGGATGTGCTTTGTCAACATTTACTATTTTGTACACTACATTCATACACAAGGTTTTGATTAGTTGGATTTTTATTAACCACAACCACATGTTCTTCTGTAATCAGTTCGCCATAAAAACTATTCCAATTATGAGATAAATGAACAAAATCATTAAAGATCTCCTATAAACAGGCTGATTTAGCAAAAGTTGCTACCAATAATTGTTATAGAATGGGTAATAACACCAATATTACATATTACTTGCCAAATCATTGTATAACGAATGAACTCTTTACTTTTTATTTCAGGAAAAATATATGTCTTTCCTGGAAACAGTGAGATATGAATTTGATAAGACCGGATGGCTATTAAGTGCATCTGTACGATCTGATCCAGCAGGAACTGGATATGATCCGCCAAAAATGAACAAGTAAGATATTTAAATATTTCATATACTTACTTATCATTTTTTATATTTCTTAGATCTTTAAAGATTCAGACTTTGTTAATATGCAATTATATTTTGTTGGTACCTTTTTTTGCTTATTTCAAGTACGTACATCAACTAGGACACAACAATCGTAAGGTCTGAATTTCAACTTTCCAATAATTGGTGATAAAATTTACGTTGCAACATCGAAGAAACTATCACTAACAAATGTTTCGACAGCTTTATTCAAATATTCAACAGTCCTAATATTTGAAATGAATGTGAAAAGTACAGTTAGTATTGTTTGACATATTAATTTTTCTGTGTTTCACATCAGAGGAAATTCAATTCAAATTGATACTGCATCCTCAAAAGTCAATAAGGTTATACTTCCAACAATGAAACTCCCAATAATTTTTGAAACATTCTTCTACTTTGGTAATACTGTCTTTGGTCTTTTCTAATGCAACTATTCGGCATAATGGTAACAGACGTACTTCCCATGTATTTCTCAGGTCTATCCAATTCAAGAAAACGCACAATTTCTTATTACCTATATCAATGAAAACACTGTCTTCTTCCTTGGTGTCATATGTCATGCGAGTGTAAATCTTCATGTATTAACATGCTATCGTAAAACAATTTTTGTTTTGTTAATTTGATGAGTTTTTCAACTCATCAAATGGGACATCCCTGTTTTTGAACTCAAACCTTATATTTACAGTACAAAATAAATGGATTCCACCGTGTTCTTAACTTGCTACTGAAAATTACATCGATCCAAAATTCATACATTTTTTATTAATCGGGGTTCGAAACCAAGATACCCCTTCTGTTCATGCCATCTTCGTGTTCATCATGTTGGAGCCTAGCTCCCTTCCCTTGTAGATGAGTTTTTGTCAGAGGTACAAATGGTAAGATGGCGACATGAATGTTCTCAAAACATCAGTACCGCCCTTCACGGGGTACCCCTACCTGGCTGGGGTGGGATGGATGAAAAAATTGTTCATCAGTTAACGGGGACATGAGGGCCTCATTCGATAAAGTGTCGGGGCCTTGTATATCGGGAGGGGTCGTCTACAGCATAATCTATAGCTTCCCTAACTAAACCCTTTCTCCATGTTAAATATTTTGTCAAAAACTCTCTTCCTACGGCACTCTCGGAATATATAATATAAAACACCATATTTAGCACAATTCGTAAATTAAAACCAAAATATATACAGTGACATGTGAGTCGATGCTAATAGAAATCTTCAAATGAGTATTCCGTAGTTCCATTAAAAAAACCTAGATGGAGTGGTCAGTGTTATTTATCCTGAAGCAATGATCAAATAAAGCGGCCAAGTTGAACGAATTCAGGAATTTTTAGTTAGATTCTCACAAGAGCCCTCCGAAAGAAGGGGTCTCAGAACTACAACATTTGAAAAAGTGTACATATTTCCTAGAGTTGAACGGTTTCCTTTTTCATTACAGAAACATATACAACTTTCGTTCTGCATAACCCCCCNATTTCCTAGAGTTGAACGGGTTCCTTTTTCATTACAGAAACATATACAACTTTCGTTCTGCATAACCCCCCTTTTTATTTTTTGAACGGGTCAACTAAAAAAATGAAAATTTGAGATAATGAAATTAATGCATGAATTCTTTATTTTGAAGTGAAATTGACAGATGAATCTTCCAAAATGGCGACTGGGCGCCATCTGGAAAAAAATTAAATCGAAAGGGGGGGTCTTGTGACACATCATTTTGAAGCTCCTGACGAATACTTCACAGCCCTAGAAAATGAAGTCAAAATCTTCACCTACTACAACATGGCGGGACATTTAATAATTTCCTGAAGACAAACACATTAATATCGATATTTATAGAAATATTTCTTTTTATCTGCCATATGGCAATTCCAACAACCCGATAATGTTTGTTAAGTTATTTTTTGTTTCGATTAGATTAGATTAGATTAGATTAGATTAGATTAATATGAGGCTTTTGTGCTGGACAGCCACTACACTGCGACATTTGCAGGTCTATTGTGTGTGCCCTCATGTATGCTAGAGTTGTTAGGTGTTGATTCCTTGTCAACTTGTGGTCAAAAATGACTCCCAAGTATTTTGCCTCTTGTGCAATTGGAATTTCTACCCCGTGCAGTACTGGTGGCTTCAGCCCTCTAAGTACTTTTTACTTTTTTTTTTGAAACCATATGAATTCCACGAGTAGCTAGGGAAACTTAGTCCGCCGCGACAGAGCCCCGCATGCCGCGGTAAGGTCTTGATACTCTAAGATGCGACCTGGTGTCTCAGAGGTACTGTTTTTTGACAGCTTACCCTGCTGCCATTCAGTCCTCAGCACGGTAACTCACACCTTGACTTGGGGGATTTTGTCAACTTGCCTTGTTTAGATCCGTTGTGTTCAGTTCACAGCCCCTCTCTCTGCCAGAGCACTGAGAGTACACTGCTATGCGGGGCACCTCCTGCAGGGTGCTATTCTTCATAGCGCACAACGGTCTTGGGATAAGCGTCCTTGAGAGGCTGGTCTGACCTCCTCGGCTATTCCCCTGGACTCAGTGACCTAGTGCCTGACTCCTCGACCCCTATTTTTTGTTTATAAAAACGTCAAAAAATGTCAGTACGACAATGAACATCCTTGTTCACTTAGAATATTCTCATATAGTTTTCGGTTTTACTAGTAGAAAGGTACCACGTCAACAATCTCTAAAATGGTCCATTTGACCATTTTAGAGATTGTTGACTGAAGCGATTTTTATTTACGGTGCGACGCGTAACTTTCACGAGACTGAAAGGATATTCAATGAACGTTTTCCGAATCGTCCTATCTGTAAAAAATATTTGAGATAACTTGTATCCAAATTCACAAGTACCGGTAGTATGTACATGATTGAAAGCCCCCAGGTCATCCTTCCTTTCAGGAAGAACAGCAAGTACAAATAATTGGTGAGATGGTAGTAAATCCTGAACAGTGTACTTATTCCATCGCGATTGTTTGTGAGGTGTCTCCTTCTACTGTGTGGAGACTTTTGAAAAGGAATAGGTACCATCCATACACAATTAAAATGGTACATCAATTAACTGAAGATGACCCCAATCGAAGAAAGAATTCTGCGAAATCATGACGGAAACCATTGTAAAGCATTCTACCCTACCTATCTCCAAAATATTTGTTTTAGTGTCGAATGTACTTTTTTTAAACGGCAATATTCACAGACAAAATTGCCGTTATTAGAGTGACACCAACCCTCAAGTTTTCCGAGAAACACATACCCAATATCCAGAAAAAAATAACGTTTTTGCAGGAATATTGGGAAACCATATTGATGACCAGGAAAAATCTACGCTTAATAATAGGATTTCTGACTGGCCACTGTCATATATATGAGGAAACACCTGCCGATATGAAGGAGATGTCTCCCAGTGACCTGTCCACCTTCCTGAAAAGGACAGGATGGACGATAACCTAGGAGGACAACTCCTCGGAAGGATGTACAATGGGTCACATATGGCCTAAGTGCTGTGGGCTTACACTCACCCACCCTACTCTACAAATACAGATTCAAACCGAAAAATATTTGCACAATCTACATAAACACAATTCACTTCTCTGAAATCCTAAAATATTTACCAAGAAAAAATTCATTAAAAATGGTTAAAATAATTCGAAACACGCTCCAAACACACTGGTTTGCAAATATAAATAAATGTGATCTAGATGTAGACAATCTGTGTTTTGCGCTTTCGCCACAACGGCGCTGACATCTAATTTTGAATTCTCAATAGATTCATCTTTCCTGAAAGATGAATCTATTGAGGGACAAGGGGACTTGGCTCAGATGTTTTTACAATGGAATAGGCTGAATTTGAACACAAGTTTTTTTACATTTTTTTTTCCAATCCAAGAAAAATATTAAGTATTAGACGTATATCATAAAGAGTGACCCAAAAGTCCCAGTAGGGCTAAACTAGTTGAAAATGTGCAGCAATAGAATAAAATATGGCTTTCTGATGGGTACTTTGCAGTCAACCTCAACCATCACGTCTGAAGGAAATTTGTAGGTTGAATGTATTGTTCATTTACGTTTTTATTTTGACTACTCTACATCTGTTTCTGTTCATAACCTTGCAGTTATTTGAAGTTCAAAAAGGTAAGTTTTTGAACGAAACCTCATATTTTTATTTTTTTTTCAACTGTGAATTTGCCAATTATGTGCAGCAAAAAACTCGCTGAAATGAAACCTATTTTTTTATCTCGGAAAAAGAAATAGCGGAATTCAAAAAGTGTCTGTAGTTGCGAATAATTAGCAACATCACAATTATATCAAGGTCCACCATCGGGACAAATCGTAACTACCCAGTGGTGTATTTTCGCTCTCATCTTGAGTCCTTTCATTACTTTATCATTTTGAATGTTGAACTTCCAGAAATCTAATTCAATCGTAATTATCCAGCACTTTTGGCTCTCGAGAGGAAAAATATGGGTTTTTGTTTGAAACTCCACCTTGACCTTTAGTTACTTTGCTTTATGATAGAAGTCGAATTCAAGCTCCCACACTAAAGCAACAAATCGCCCCTCGACGTGCTTTCCGCTGACCAAGTTAGTATCATCAGGAGATTACTATGTCCCTGTTGAAAAATTCTTGTCATCCAAATCATTCACGTCATGTTGGAACTCGAATCAAATTTTACCGTAGGATAGTTCGGTTATTTCATTTCAACTGCCTCTACACATTTTAGGGTGATGGAACAGTGCTAGGACTTTTGTGTCACTCTTTTTTTCTTTTGATTCCATTTGGAAAACGTTTGGTTCCAAAAAGACAGTAGCAATATAGTTATCGCATTCTACTCATTTAGTCGACTTCTATGTGAAACAGTAGTTCAAGCCCAAAGAACTTACGATATATTTCTACTGCGTATCGTCGAAACCGCGCGTAACTTTTGGGGATTGCCTAGTTTAGGTCCCGGCGCATATAAATAAGAACCCAACCTAACGTAACTCCTAACCCAAGCTTTAATTACTAGTACTAATACTAAATTAATATTATATTAGAAGTTTAATTGAAACAGTTGCTGGACCTAACTTAACCCAACCTATATAAGGGAGCCGGGACCTACATTCTGGTATTATCCATGCATTGATATGAAACCTCGGTTTCAAGAATGATGACGAACAATATTCATCTAATCATGCATGTGTTTTGTACTGACCGAAAAGTGTTGTTCGATTTTCAAACTCAATTTTTGCTTTATCACAACCTGGGAATTTAATAAAAGTCGTTAAATTCTCGCTCAATCATTCGTTTGTCTTTGAGTTACAATAACTTAGTTGGCGTCAAGTTGGTGCATTTCTGGTGATAGAAAAAAGTAATTGTTTTGGAAGTATACACCCTTCACTCAAAATTTAACTTGTTCTCAAACAACACGAATTATATCATTCAATTTTACAGACTTCTAGACTGGATCACGATCAAGTCCTATGATTTCTACGAAGCTTCTTCTAGTAACTACACCGGAATACACAACCCTCTGTATCATTCTCCGAAAGAAACCAAATGGGAGAAGAGACATCTCAACATGGAGGCGGCAGCTAACAACTGGCTCAATGCTGGTATCAGCAGGGAGAAACTTGTACTGAGTGTAGCGTTTCATGGACGATCATTTCAGCTGAAAGATGCTGATAAACACGAGATTCACTCCCCCATTACTGGACCAGGGCCAGGTGGTGACACAGGGTTCCTGGACTACGCAGAGGTGAGGCGGGAAAAAGTAGTTGATGTCGAAGAGTAGGAATTGTCTTTCAGCAAATCATCAACCCATGCAATAACATACCAAGAATCATGATTCAGATATACATTTCATTGATCATTTTACGGCAGGAGATGTATTTGAGTCCGATCGTTAATCTAATTGAAAAACTTTGAATGAGTTACAAATATCACACTGAACAATGAAACCTGAATAAAAGAAATTAAGAATGAATCAGTTCAATTGGGTTCAGGAAATTTACAAATCAAAAACGTTTTGTGAATAGAACTGGCCGATACTTGATGAAAATCCATATTAAACCTAATTAATACAGTTCATTGTATGATATTCACTATGAAGGGTTTTACAGAAACCGCGACACGTGTTTCGCTATACAATAGCTTTCAATAGCGTAAAATGATAAGTTACCTCTAAATCACAACTATTTTACACTCTATCATATCACCTACTTGTATGTCTACTTTCTAATAAATGAAGTTAAATTTCCGAAAGAAACGAAAGAACCGAACAATACCTAACTTTTCTTAACTGGAAATAAACAGATTCAATTATGTCGAACTGTTCAGTTCGGTTTGATCGTTCATAAGATATTGACAGTTTTTGAATTTGTTTACAATAGATTAAGTTTCAAACTTTTCTTCTGAAAATGGAGGGGCTTGATTTCATGGTTCATCTCATGTCCCCCTATGATCAAATGGGTGGCATATGTGGAATTTATGTTTCCATTCTCCAAACTATTTCTGTGTTCCTTTATGCGGGCTTTGAACGTTCTTCCGGTTTAACCTATATAAAACATACATACAACTATACATGATTTTTCTGAAGCTGAACTTTTATCTTTGTTATTCTTAATGTGCATGCCCAAGTTATTGTTGGTTCTGAAAGCAATATTTACACCTCTGTTGTGCAAAAAATTTGAAATATTCGTAATGGGTTGGCCTGAGTAGGTTAAGGTTCTATAACTCTTATCCTCATCTCTTCAAATTGGATAAACTTTCTTCAAAGCTTGGCTGTATAACTTTTTTGATAATAGAGAATGTATTAGACTGCAATCATTGTTGACGACTATTTGGTTTATTATGTTCAGTTCCTTTATCAGTCTGTGGTTCATACTGTTAAATGCTACTACTTTGTGCAAAACATTTATAGAATCGTGAATGTGATAGAAGATTAGAAAGAACTGATGAAATTGTCTGTTCGTCGTTATTAATCTTACCAGGATATCATCTACATATCTATACCAATACACGAAACTTCTTACCAGTGGGTTACTGTGTATTTTTCTCTCCAAATTGTCAATGAAAATTTCTGCCAGAATTGGACTAAGTGGGGAAACCCACAAAAAAAGTTCAATTTCAGAAAAATCGGGAGTGCATAAATTATCATGTAGGTCATGTCCGATGTTTTATATAGGTCAAACTGGAAGAACGTTCAAAGCTCGCATAAAGGAACAGAAAAATAGTTCCCAGACTGGAAAAATAAATTCCACATATGCCACTCATTTAATCACAGAGCAACATGAGTTCAACCATCAATTCAAGTTCCTCCATTTCTGGAGAAGAAAGGTTTAAAACTTAACCTGGTGAGTATGGAAATATGAAAATTCAAAAACTCTTAATATCTTAAAAACGATCAAACTAAACTGAATAATTCGCCATTATTGAATCTGTTTTTGAATAAACGTTTTTGAATTGAATTGAATTTCCAGGTAAGGAAATTTACGTATAATTACCATACTTCCGGAAATGTAATACATTCATATAATTAATGAATTCATACCTGACCTTTTTATTAGAAAATAGACGTACAAGTAGATGATATATTAGAGTATAAAATAGTTGTAATATAGAAGTAACTTATTATTTTACGCTTGAGAAAGCTACTATCACGGTTTTTTTAAAACCCTTTATAGTGAAAATCATACAATAAACTGTATCAATTAGTTTAAATTTTTTTTCAAAATTTATTGCACTATTCACACAATTTTCTTGTTCCAAGCAAACTATCCATTATAATTCATCCCATTAGTGCTACCTCATTGAGTATCAAATTTTCGCCCTGACTCTCTTTATTTCGAACAATTCGCGGAAAGTTTTTTTCTTGGCGGTTCTGCCTCATAGTTAGTTTCCGAATTCTACTGTATGAAAACTAATTGAAGTTATAAAAAGTAGAAAGAATTGGAAGCTGTTCTGTAATGACCAAATCTATTATGAAATCGATAATGCAGAGTTGAATATCATCAATATTTATTCACAAGCCTCTGTCACAATGAGAAAAAGTAACAATTGAACAACTAATTTTATTTCTATACAATATGGCTTAATTTTATGTCACGATATTATCGAAATAAGTATTTCCATTCACTAAATTCAGGTTTGATGATTGAGGCTAAGCCCAAACAGTTCTTTCCATTTACAGATGAAACGTTTTTAACAAAGGGGAATTCACGATAGTGATTCAAACAATTTCCACTTCATTGAGAAATGTCTTGATAGAAAGTCAGGATGTCTGGAATACATGGATTAGAAGATTATTTTCAATCATTTAGAAAATGAATTAGTGAACTGGGAAAAGTTGCATAATTTACGGTTCAAAGAAGCTGCTGGTGTAGTAATACTTCCCTGTAGATTATGATGCATCACTCATTTTCATCGCGATTTATTAATTGGTTGGTGATATTCCACTGGTCTCTCTGACTTGCAAAGTCTGGTTTGTTTGACTGGTTTCTTATCATATTAGGTATCCAATTTGTCACAATCTTAAAAAATAAAATGAAAAATTATTTTGTTCGTTTCTTATCCTTTGCCTGTTTTTAGGAATAAATCAA